AAACACTATGTCACAGGGCTATTGTGAAGATCGAATGAAACAATACATGTCAAGAAAGATCAGGAGACTTAGAATGTTGTAAGAGCTTATCAAACATTTGACGTAATTGAACACTTAATTTGGGCATAAGTGTATCCAGTAAGTTATCTTTTCTCACTAGGATATTGGCTGGAAGTGCCCTGGGGTCTTCTCCTCTTATCCAGGTGCTCAGTCCAGCATCACCCTTATGATCTATAGTCCTCATTTCATTCCCCCAGCTGTTCCATTTTGATCCGGCCCCTCCCTGGGGTCAAAGAGAGTTTCTTTCTGTAGAGCGTTCTCAATCTTTCTTTCTGTAACTGCTCCAAGGTTAGTTTTTAAAACAAGGAGACATTCTGTGCCACCTACTCACAGCTCAGCAAGTGCTTTTCCAATACTGCTGCTATTTCTAATCCTTGGGCAAGCCACTTATTAAAATTTAATGACAATCACTTACATTTATAAAGCCATGTTCAGTTTACAAAGCTCCTTTCCATCCATTACCTCTTATAATTCTCAATACATCTGTAGGTAGGAAGTATGTTTTTCTCCATTTTACAAAGGAAGAAAATAAGGCTCTGAGGAGTAGCATCGTCATCCAGCAGCAGAGATGGGCCTCCAATTCTGGCTTTTTATTCCATTATGTCAGGAGTAGCTCCCCTATTCAGGCATTCTTCTACAATATAAGCAATCCATTAAACCAGCTCTGCTCTCTTTTGGGAGATGTAGTTAAGTTATTTAGGACTATTTTGATTGGAAGGGACAAAACCCCAACTCAAACTGGCTTAAGCAAAACCTGAATGTATTGGCTCACCAGACAGAACAACCTGGAAGGAGGTCTTCAGGCATGGATGGATCCAGGTGTTCAAACTGTGTCATCAGAACTATCTCTCTCCATTTCTTACCTTCCTATTTGTTCATATTATTCTTAGACAAATTCTCTGCTTAGGGTGTCAAAGACAGCCCCCAGTAACTGAAGCTTACCGTTCTTTCAGCTCAACAAATTCAACAGAGAGACAAATTTGCTCTTTCTTGCAAATTTAACAAATGACCAGATATCAATCTCAACTATTTGGGTTGGCTTCTGGGCCCACCTCTGAACCAATCATTGTGTTTAGAACAATGGAGTATTCTCATTGTCCAGGCCTGATCATTTGCCCTTCTCTGGGGAAGAGTATAATGGTGGTGGTGGGGTGAATCTCACCAAACATAGGGACTGAATGAGGGGAAAAGGAGTACCAATGTCAGAGGTGGTATGGATGGTGGACAGATCTCTACAGCGTGGCTTTGCTTTGCAGAGCTGGAATAGAGCAACCAGAGAGGAACTAAGGGCCCAACTCTGCAAGAATCCCAGTTCTTCCCTTAAGAGAGTGGTAAGTGGGCTTCTGTGTAGTTTTTTTTTTCCCCCCAGACTGCCTGGTTTCACAGAGCAGGATAGGAAAAAAAGGTGATAATTCATGGCAGAGTAAGGAGAAAAGATGGAGCTTCTGGCTCCAGTAACTTACACTGAGAATAGTACCCAAACCAGGAGTATCCACAGAAGGAGACTTTGAGGATGACCCCTTCCCTGATCCCTCCTCCTAGCACCTTCTATCTCCCCCAAAAGTTGTGAGCTCCAGGAGGGGAGGGACCACATCTGTTTTACCTACCATCTCATCCCAGGGCTAACAGTGTCGAGCTGGTACATTACAGGAGACATTTCCTTACTTACTGCATGATGTACAAATGAATTAGGCTGATCAGTCTACTTGGCAGAATCAACACAACTTTGTTCAAGTCAGTCCCCTCTTTGGCCTCTGCTCTCCAGCTGCCAAGATGGAGTGGAGTGGGGGGAAGGTGTAGAATGAGACTCTTTCCACAGCCCCTTGATTCCAGGATCTTAGGATTCTCAGGAAACAGCCAGGATGCCCTCTGCAAGGAGCCAGTGGAAGGGGAAACCAAATTTATTGAGAACTCTGTGCTCAGATGAGACGATTTCACATGGATCTGAGTTGCCCAAACTGTGGAGCCCATTTCATGAACCTCATAAGTTTGTTTTAAAATTTGAGAAGGAGAGATGGCAGTTTAGTAGGAGGAACCTAGGCTAGCTTATCCTTCAAACAAAACTAGATGACTATCAAATCAGTCTGAGTATCCAAAAAGTCAACAGGAGGACCGACAGAACAAACCTCCACAACTAGAAGGAGAGAAGAGGCCACATCAAGGAAGGGAATTTATAGGGAAATATTGCTTTATGGAATAAACCCAAACTAAAATACATTTTATTTTAAATAAAAATGGACATTTAATCTCATAGCTAAATTACTGATTATATATTTGCTGAGCTAACTTAAGGGTTCAGAAAATTGTATCAAGAGTTTTATTTTTTTACTTCAAAGCCTTCTTTTATTTATTTATTTATTTGACAGAAAGAGAGAGAGAGAGAGATCACAATTAGGCAGGCGGGGGCGGGGGAGAAGCAGGCTCCCCGCTGAGCAGAGAGCCTGATGTGGGGTTCGATCCTAGGACCCTGAGATCGTGACCTGAGCCGAAGGTAGAGGCTTAACCCACTGAGCCACCCAAATGCCCCACTTCAAAGCCTTCTTAATAAAGTCTTTTTACTAAAAAGTAAAATTAAATTTGGGATGGAAATAACTCTGCTTATGTTTTATTGTGCCAAAATGAGGATGTTAAAAAAAACACCCTATCATCAAACTTAACTAAAGAAAAAATTAACTATCATGAACACTTTGTTAAAAAGGAATTTTTACACAGAAAGCAGGAAGTACACAGTCTCAGGGGAAAAAAAGAACAGTGTCTCTACCCCTGGAAAAGACATTTGGCAACCTTACATGGTTATATTTTTCAGAAGATACATGTACATTTCATCAGACTGGCCCCTGTGCAAGGTTCAGTATTTGGAACCTACTAACAGATTATTTTTCAACTCCACCCGTTGCACCCACGTGCCGTGAAATGGGGCTTAATCTGCCCACTTTGCAGATGGGGAAACAAAGGTTCAGAGAGCCCCAGTGCAAGGTTACAGAGGTAGTAAACAGCAGTCAGAGTTTGTCTGGACGCCAACCCTCATCGTCTTGGCAGATCCTAAGCCAAAAGTTATTCCCCTTCAGGGAAAGAAATGACCCACACTGGCTCCTTTGGAGTGCCCCCAGGGTGTTCTTGGCCTGACCTTGGGCCTGGACTTGGACGCTTTGTTCTTTAACACATCTTAATCATGTGCTCACTTCATGCCAGGCACTCCAGAAAGTCCAGGGAGGGAAACCAGCATGTTCCCAGCCTCCTTCCCTCTCGTCCCGCATACTCACCCTGGGTCTTGTTCTCCAGGCCCAGCTCCTTCCACTAGTGGCCAACGAATTCCTATCGCGGGCGTGGGATGCTAACAGTTTAGGGGGTTCCCTCTCCCAGGGGTGTTGGCAGTTTCCAAGGAGACTCTGGGAACCTTCAACGCCTCCAAGACCCAAAGGGCTGAAAGCATAATGGTGTAACCCGAGGCACTGTGTTAGGTTGTAGGAAAGGTAATATGGGAACAAAGGATCAGTTTAAACCCTATCAAATAATACTCGGTTCGGTCCCTCCCCCATTCTCATGGGCTCTGCGGGGGCCCACAAGCCCCGCAGCTCAGGCTGGAAGAAGGAGGTCCCCCAAGCCAAAGGGCCTACTGTGTAAGGGGCTTATTGCTCCGGCTAGGGGACCCCTGCGACCGTGCCCACCCCTTCCCCTGACTGACAGAACCTGGAGCACCCCTCCCCCGTTTCGCCCCGCCCCGCACGCCCGAGGCGGGAGCGCGCCTCCGACGAGCCGCGCCGGTGTACGAGAGCGCGCGCCTCGGCGCGGGAGCGCGCCCCGGGGAGAACCCGAGCAAGATGGAGGCCGCGCCGAGGCCGCCTCCTGGGCCGAGGCAGCAGCTGCTGGGAGAGCCGAGCCCGGGCGCCTAGGCCGTGCCAGTCCCGGACCCACTGCTCCGGACCCGGCCCAGGTTGGTCTCCCCGCACCCCGTCCCCGCGGCCGCAAGCTGCGCGCGCGTCCGGCCTGGGCGCGGGGCAGCCGCCCCCCACCCCCACCCTCGGCCCTACCCCTGCCGGGCCGCTCCCCAGCACTCGCGGGATAACCTCTGCCCACAGTCCTCCCCTCGAGGCCCGGGCTGCCTGCCGGCCCCAGTCCCTCGTACCCTTGGCCTGGAAAACCTCTCTCCTCAGCCCTGGCCCGCCAATCCTAGGCTTCCCCTAGCTTACATCCAGTCCTGTCTTCTGTGGGACCCCTCCAGACCCCCGCCCTGTGTTCAGACCCTGCAGTCCCGGCCCTCGACTCCCCACTAGCCTCATCTTGATTCCTCCACTTCGCCCTCCCTGTCCCAGCCTCCATATCACCTTCCCAGTCCCCCAGTATCAGCCCCTCATATCCCCTTCCTGTTCCCGCATAGAAGCACCAACCCCCCCCCCCCCAGCGCCTTTCTAGACGCCCAATACCAAATCTTCTTTTACCCCTAATACCAGTCCCCAATTTCCTTTCCAAGCTCCATTTATACAGCCCCTCTGCTCATACCCCAGTACCGGTCCTCAGCCTCCATTCCATCTACCCATGGTTCCTTACTACTTGCCCAGTTCTGGCTCCCAAACCCCCTCCCCAACACCCCCATGACCACTTTCTAGCTGGCCCCCACTTCCAGCTCCCATATCCACATCCCATCCCCCTCATCCCAGCCCCCCAACTTTCACATGTCCCTTACCTAGGCCCCCAGTTGGAGATCTTAGTCCCCTCAGACACCGCCCCAACACTCAGGACCCCCTCCTGGCCCCTCCATACTACCCCCTAGATACTCCCAGCTCCGCCCCAGGCCCCTCCTTCGAGAGTTCCTTGGCTCAGGGCCGCTTCTCGCGTGCGTCCCCAGCTCCCGCCCGTCAGCCCGGCAGCCCGGCGGTGGCTCCCGGGCCGGCGGCCCCCGCCAGCCGCCGTCGCCGCCGCCGGCCCCGCCCCCGGGCACCATGCTGCCCTCGCAGGAGGCCTCCAAGCTCTACCACGAGCACTACATGCGGAACTCGCGGGCCATCGGCGTGCTATGGGCCATCTTCACCATCTGCTTCGCCATCATCAACGTGGTGGTCTTCATCCAGCCCTACTGGGTGGGCGACAGCGTGAGCACCCCCAAGCCTGGCTACTTCGGCCTCTTCCACTACTGTGTGGGCAGCGGGCTGGCGGGCCGCGAGCTCACCTGCCGAGGCTCCTTCACCGACTTCAGCACCATCCCGTCCGGCGCCTTCAAGGCAGCCGCCTTCTTCGTGCTGCTCTCCATGGTGCTGATCCTCGGCTGTATCACCTGCTTTGCGCTTTTCTTCTTCTGCAACACGGCCACGGTCTACAAGATCTGCGCCTGGATGCAGCTCTTGGCAGGTAGGGGAGGGGTGGGGGTGGAACCCCTAGAACAGGCGCCCAAGACCGGGCTTCTTCCTTCCAGGACCCCTTCTTGGAGGGGTCAGAGAGATTCTGCTCCTCTGTCTAAAGACACACCTCCTTGGCTGTCCCTCAGCAGCCACTGGGGAGGGGATTTATGAGAGAAACACCTTGGGGCAGGAGACAGAGCCTTAGAGCTAGGTCTTTGAGTTTGTGTGCTTGGATATGGGCAGACTGTAGTTACTGATGGGTTAGTGTTATGTTAGAGTGTCTGCGGGTCTCCGGGAGTCTCTTTTGGCTGTCTTAGGGGAAATAATTATCTGAATGAGGAGTTACTTTAGGAATGAGCAATTTCTATTGTGTCAAAAAGAGCATGAGTAGGGGGAATTAGGAGATCTGACTTTGACCTTTATCTTGCTGATATTATCAACTTGGGTGTTTCACTTTACTTCTCTGAGGCTAGGCTTCCACATCTGTAAAACAATGGAGAAGATTCCAAGAACAAATGAAAGAGTATCTTGTAAACTTTGAAGTTCTGTATTAAGATAAAGGAGCTTAGGAAGATATGCATGTCTATAGTGTCTATCCAGTGTTGAAATGTGGGTGGTGGACAGCTCGGGGGTCTTGGGAGGGCAAGTCTCCACCTGCTACCCCCCACCCAATGCAGGAAGGGTTCTGGTGCTATGCCCAATGGGAATAAATCCCTGGGACCCTTTGAAATGTTTAGCTAAGACAGACATCTTGCTCTAAGAACCGGAGAAGGGACCTTTGGGTAAGAGAACTGCTGAGACTGTATTCCAGGATCTGTTAAAGTCCCCACCCCCACCTACCTTTCTATCTAAGGCAGATTTTGAAGATTCAGCAACTTGGGCATTTGCCTAATTGCAGGCAGGAAAGAGTTGGGCTGGGGAGAGTCAGGTCAGGATATAGCAGGAACGGGGGAGGAGGACTGGTGAGGTTAGGAAAAGTTTGGAGCCCTCCAGGAATGAGAAAGAGTAGGGAAAATGTGATGATCATATAGTAGAGCTGGTTTTTCAAAATAAGCACCTCAGGGCATTCAACAAGTGTGGGCCTCTTCAAAGAGACTCCCTGCAGGAGGTGTTATATCACTTGCTGATGATTCCACTGCTCAAAACATTGTAGGAAATTGTCCTTGGAGTGTGGGGTGTGTTTTCTTGAACATCATCATTGAGGGAAACCTCCATCTTTTGAAGGAAGAATATGATTTTTCAGAAATGGCTGGAAGTTGCTTAGGGCCAAGTGTAGAAAATACAATAGTGATCAAATTGAGAATTGTCACTTGGGATGAAAGCCAAGGTATGAGAGCAAAACCATGAGGCTGGTTTGCTTCCCCAAGAGGACCTTTACAAATACTGGGAGGAATTACTATCCCACTGGAAGAATTTCTCAAAGTCTCAGAAGGACTACTTTGAAGAAAGTGTTAATTCAGATGAGGACATTGTAATGAGCTTGTTTCAAATCTATCTCACTCCATCTACTTAGATGTGAGTCTTCTAGGATCTTTGAAGGTGAGAAAGGACAATTGTAGAGTGTAGGGGGTATGTCTCCATATTTCTCTGTGGCACATAGAAGGTAATTTTATGTATTTCCATTCTATTCTTCCTCCAAAGACAAGCTGGAAAGAATATATACCTACCTGGAATCCTCAATCCCTCACCCTTAATTTGGAGTCTGCAGAAGGGATGCTAACCTCTTGGCCTTCCAATTCTCTGTAATTTATGTGGGTTTAATCTTAGGGATTTGATGAAGTGTCCAATAACCCCATGTAATTACAGAATTTCAGGGATCATAGAGATCAGCTCCTTCAAATCCCACCTTCCCCTCCCCCCATTTTAGAGAGAGGAGACTGAGACTAGAGAAAAGGTCTTACCCAAAGTCTCATTGCCAGGAGGGGAGTAAACTAGGTCTTGACTCCTGGCCTGGTGCTCTTTCCCTTGTGTTGTTGTCCTGAGGGCTGAGGAGTCCAGTTAGCAGAGTTGAGCAGTTTGTTTCATTTTGGTTAGAGATTTCTGAGTTCTCTGGGTAAGTGACCAATTCACTTCGTTTAATGAAGTGACATCAGGACTGGAGCTAGAGCATTGGACTACGAGTCATGGGATGGGGTCTTGCTTGGCTGATTCTGCCTGAGAGATTCACTCTACAGTAGTAAGCAATTGTTTTTAGCTTAAATCTCAGTTTTGTCACTCTTACAGTGGGACACTAATCAGTTACATTAGTGGATTCAACGTATCTCTTTCAGCCCTGTGTGTCTCCTAAAACAGCTCTTTTGCCAAGATCATTCTATTCAGAAAGTAAGAAATCAGTCATTCTCAGAGGAACTGCAGAGTGGCAAAAGACCTTGTTTATATCAGGAAAGAATTAGAATTCTTGTTCAAGTAAAACTTTATTCAAGTATTTTAGATTCTTCTAAGTGTAGAGCCCTGGACCATTGGGAAAATTCAGAGATACTTATTCCTCTATTTATTCTTTATCTGCTCTGTGATCATCCCTGTGCTAGGGGCGACAATACTGAGATGATCCTCATCCCCAAGGATTTAGGTCTATATCATGAGATCTCCACTCTCAGGAAGCTTACCATCTAGTTGGATCACTATAGTGTTCAGCATTTTTTCAGTGACAAGTGACGGAAATCCAACTCAAAATGGCTTAAATAAATAAAAATCAAATAAAATAGGGATGGTAGGGTTTTTGGCTCACATAAAGTATCTTTCTTTATGAGTATCTTGCTTCAGGGGTTCCTGGCTGACTCAGTCAGTGGAGTATGGGACTCTTGATCTCATGGTTAAGTTTGAGCCCCACATTGGATGTAGAGATTACTTAAAAATAAAATCTCAAAAAAAAAAAAAAAGGTAACTTGCTTTAGGCATGGATGGATCCAGATACTCAAATAATGCTATTAAGAAAATGTCTATTGCCATTTCTTGGTTCCTCTGTGTCAGCTCATTTTTAAAGTCCACTTCTCTTCTAAAGGTGATAAATAAGGCTACTCACAGCTTGGAATTTACATTGCTTTAGCTTAGCAGTGCCTGTGGGAAAAGAACATCTGTTAGTCAGTGGTTCCAGCAAAAGTTCCAGGGCTGATTCTCATTGGCCCAGGCTTTGGCCAAGGATTCACCTCTTAGTTAATCAATATGACTTTGTCTAAGGCTTCAGCCATATTCCCGTCCCTGGAACACATGGACCAACAGTGGAGAAAGGTCAGTTCCTGAAAAGAGAAATCAACCGCTGGTAGGACAGGCGCAGACAGAAAAGCCTCACTCTGGAGAGTCTAAGCACTAATATGTCCTGGCTGTAAGTGCTGTGGAAACCCGGGAGGTGGCCCCTTCACTGGGAGGTGAGGCTTGAGTGGGAGGTGCGGATGTGTACAGGTGCGAGGTTGGGGAGAGCATTCTGAATGGAGAGGAAGATCATGGGCAGAGACACGGAGGTGAGAAAACCACATGTGGCTTGGGGGTGACCTCCAGCTAGGGGAGGAGTGGGAGGAGAGGGGAGGAAGGAATGGCGGAGGCTACAGTGTACAAGTCTCTGAATAGTGGGTCAGGCATTCGGACTTTCATCAGCAGGCAGCTCCAAGCTACTACAACTCTTGTTATTATTCAGGAAAAACAGTTAATATTTTCTTAGCCTTTGCTGTATGCTAGACCATGTGCTAGACATGGACATGAGTACTATTATTTAATCCTCACAGTGATACGGAGTAGGTGCCATTATTACTCTTTTGTAGAAGAGAACACTAAGCCTCAGAGATGAGTCATTTGTCCAAGGTCATACAGAATGTAAGTGGGAGAACTAGGGCTATCTGATTCGAAAGGCCAAGGATTTATGAAGGCATTATAGAGGGGCATTAGTGATGGGGGCAGTGGCAGGAGGTTTTAGGCATAACACTCAAATGTTAAGCAGAGAGGCTGAAAACCCAGGTGGCTCTTTGTGGAGTCAGGGGCCAGCTTCTCCAGGTACCTCTGCTACTCTGGACCTGGTCTTTCCCACTTAGTGAGAATACACAAGGTACCAGCTTTGACGCTAGACATTTCCATATTTGTTAGACAGCGCATGTTCATTTATTAAAGTGACTTGCCCAAAGGTCACACATCTAGTGAAAGGTGAAGCTGAAACTTAAAACAAGTCTGAATGGATCTAGTTCTTGCTCTTACAACCAAACGAACCTGGGAGAGGATACACAAGTCACAAGACAGAGCTGTCACCTGTCCATGCTCAGTGTTCACCCGTGGGCTGGGTGGGGTTAGCCAAGGGGAGGTTGCTGGCTGAAGTAGAGGTTCAAGCTGGAAGCCTGGTTGAGAGTCCGGGGGCATAATTTGGGGTAGGGGTTTAAGAGCAGAGGACTTAGAATTCTCTCTCTGCTTCTTCCCAGCTGTGTGGCCTTGGATAAGTGGGTTTTCCTCTCTAGGTCTCAGTTTCCTTATTGTAAAAGGGAGATTATTGCTATTGTTTTTAAAGATTTTATTTTTAAGTAGTCCTATACCCAACGAGGGGCTTGAACTCACAACCCTGAGTTCAAGAGTCCCGTGTTCTACTGACTGAGCCAGCCAGGGGCCCAGGGGAGATTACTATTGTATTTACTTCAGGTGGCAGAAAAAACAAAGTGATGGCTGTAAAAGCACCGAATGTGTTCATAGTGGACAGTGGGCATTCAGTAAACGGTCACATCATCTCCGTGACACAGTCTAAGTGAAGAGCAGCTTGTGAGGAGCTCTTGCTGCTCAGGTGGGAGAGTTTGAACTTGCTGGGATGATCAAAGGCCTTGAGAAGTCATAAACTGCCAGCTGAAAAGGGTCTTGCCAATTAGCTGCCCAGCCGCCTTTTTACGGAAGAAAAAAAATCTAGTCCTGGAGAGAAGAAACAAGTTCATGTCACAAAGTGAGGCTCTGCTTCCCACAGAAGGGAGATGATTCTGACCATAATTCATTCAGTACTGAGCACGTGCAGTATGTCCGGCCCTGCTTGGCGGCTGGAGTCACAGC